TTTTCCCACCTGTATCTGAGGGTCAAGGAGCGGTCAAATACTTGTTGTGTGAGCTCCACCATATAAACACATTCCTCCTGACTTGGCAGATTAGGTACTGGTGTGCAAAACACAAACTCAGTAAACAAGCCTGCCACAGCTCAATGTACATAATGGATTAATAGCTCCCAACAGGGGGGCGCACTGGGGACCTAGGCTTGGAACTGGCATCCACTGCTTCTATCAGCTGAGGCAAAGCACAGACCAACCAGGGCTCAATGGTGCAGAAACAGATGTCCAACCTTGAAGGGAAGGATTTCAAAGTCACACTGGAAGGACAGGGCTATCAGGTTAGAGATAGGGTCCATCTTTTAAAATGACACAAACAAAAGGGACTGGAGAGACGGCTCCGCAGTTAAGAGCACTGGCTGCTCTTGCAGAAGTCCAGAGTTTGATTCTCAGCACCCACATGGAGGCAAACAACCATCAGTAACTCCAATTCCAACACCCTCTTCTGACCTCTGTGGGCACTGCATGACACGGGTGTACTAACACACATGCAGGTAATATACTCATACACATAAAAAATTAAAAATAGGGCTGCAGAGATGATTCAGTGGGAGAAAATCTTCACCAGCGACACATCTGACAGAGGTTTAATGTCCAGAATATATGAAGAACTCAAAAAAAACAGAATCAAGAAAGCAAGTAACCCAATTAAAAGATGGGCTAAAGGTCTAAACAGAGTTCTCAAAAGAAGAAATAAGGATGGCTAAGAAACAGCTTAAAAGGTGTTCAGCATCATTAGTAATTAGGGAACTGCAGATTAAAACCACTTTTAAGATTTCATCCTACCCTAGTCAGACTGGCTAAGATCAAAAGATCAAATGATACCAAATGCTGGTGAGGATGTGAAGAAAGGGGAACACTCATCCACTGCTGGGGAAAGTCTGGGGACAGTGACTTGACACAGTGGGCCTGAACATGGATGACCGAGTATATGGATTCCAGTGGGGAGTCTCTGGGAGGGTGCCAGTGGGGACAGGGGTGTGAAGGTGATTAAGATTTTTTTGAGATATTCTGTATGAAATACATAAAAAGGCAATAAAAACAAATTTAAAATAAATGAATCCACTTTTTTAGTCTTTTTTTTGGTCTTTTTGAGACAGGGTCTCCCTGTAGCCCCAGCTAGTCTGGAACTCACTATGTAGACCAGGCTGGCCTTGAACTCACAGAGATCCACCTGCCTCTGCCTCCCCAGTGCTGGGATTAAAGGTGTGCACCACCACAGTGCCATGTGATAAATGCATGGTCTCCAGCAGGGTGCTGTGGAATAGCAGATCCTTTTGTAGGTAGGGCCTGTTGGTAGGTCTTTAGATCATCGGGCCTTTGCCTCAAAGGGGACGTGGTACTCTAGACTCTCTTTCCTTCTCTCTGTTCCTGGTTCAGGGTGTAATTATTTATTTGTTCACACACACACTTCTGCTGTGGTGTCCCACCTTCTGCTCCCTTGCAGAACTGATCCAGTGTCAGCACACTTGAATCTCTAAGACTGTGAGCTAAATGACACTGTTTTCTTTATGAATTATTCACCTCGGGTATTTCATTATACTATTGCAAAACTGACCAATACAGAATGTCACAAAGTCCTAGGTATATCTGTCATATTTTCAATGTTTTGTAAGTACATGTATTTGCCAAAATAATGTGTTAATCAGCTTCCTGTTACTATAACGGATACTTGAGCTCAATCAACTCAAGGTTTATTTTGGTCCAGCTATAGAAGTTTCAGTTTCTGGTCACCTGGCCATATTGCTTTGGGGACTGTGAGGACAGCCTGTAATGCAGGAATCATGTAGCAGAAGTTACCTCAGCAGAGCAAGGAAGGCACCAGGGTCCCAATGTCCCCTTCAAAGGTGTACGCCCGTGATCTCCCTCCCTCCCACTAGACCCCGCCTCTCAATGCTTCTGCCACCTCCCGGTGCTGCCACAGGTTGAGGATCAAGCTATTGACAAACCTTGGAGGACATTCAGGATCCAAACCAGGGTTGGAGAGATGATTCAGTGGTTGAGAACACTTGCTGCTCTTCCAGAGGTCCCACATTCAGTTCCCAGCACCTACATCAGGCAGCTCACAACAGCCTGTAATGCCAGCTCCGGGGATCTGATATCCTCTTCTGGCCTCTGCATGCACATACACACACACACACACACACACACACACACACATAAATATTTTAAAACTATTTTATTTTTCCTTTATTTGTATGAATATATTGTCTGCATGTGTGTAAATGCACCCATGTCATACAATGCCAGTAGAGTCAGAAGAGGGTGTTGGATCCCCTGGAACTGGAGTTATGGATGGCTGTCAGCCACCATGTGGGTGCTGGGAATCGAACCCAGGTCCTCTGCAAGAACAGTCAATGCTCTTAACCGCTGAGCCATCTCTCCAGCCCCAAAATAAATTTTTAAAAATATTTTATTATGTGTATGCATGTATTGCCTGCATGTAGGTAAGTGCACCCATGTCCTGCAATGCCCTTGGAGAACAGAAGAGACTGTCGGATCCCCTGGAACTGGATTTACAGACAGTTGTTAGCTGTCATGTGGGTACTGGGAACCGAACCTGGGTCTTCTGCAAGAACAACCAGTGTTCTTAATCACTGAGCCATCTCTCCAGCCCAATAAATATTTTTTAAAAGATCCAAACCATAGTAGCAACAGTGGTTATTTCTGGGTGAAGTGATTCTTCTTTACTTGTGTACAAATGCATATATGGTGTGTGTGTGTGTGTGTGTGTGTGTACGTGTGTACACATGTGCCAGTCTGTGTTTCTCTAATTTTGTGCCATAATCATGTATTACCTTCACAATAGAGAATGTGCTTTGTGGTTTGGGGTTTTTTTTAGTTTTTGTTTTGAGACAATTCCCACTGTGTAGCCCTGGCTGGCCTAGAACTTACTATGCAGAATAGGCTAGTCTCGAACTCAGAGATCTTCCTGCCCCTGCCTCTTGGGTGCTGGGATTAACGGTGTGCGCCACCACTCATAGATGAGGATACACTTCAACCACAAGTAAATATAACACCAAAGAAGAGATAAACTAAGAAATATAATTTATACAAATTTATTAACAAGTTCCTAGTTGTGGGAAACACTACAGAAAATGTACTTGCCCAGGAATACACTTTGGTTTTCATCAAATTCAGACCCACCCCTTTCACACAAGTAATGATTTTCCTCTCAACCTCCACCATCAATGTCATAGCATTACCCCTTTCCCCAATGTCAGACGTCATTCACCGTTCCCAGGGTTCCAAGTGATTTGTTCATATGAAGGACCATAAGTCTACAAAGGTTACGCCACCACAAAGTATGACCCCACTGAGGAAGGACCAGCACTGGGGAAGGCGTGACTGCAGCAGGTAGAAGAACCCAGATGACACACTGAGCCATCAGCGGAGGGAGGTAGGGGAGCTGCAGGAGCCCATCAATCCTGGAACTTTCAAAGAGGCCACATTTCCGAGCAAGAAATCTAACACTGAGTGCCAAACTTTCCTATAGGTCACAGACAGATGGCAAGTGTTGTCCAGATTAAAAATACTGGAAAAGCAGGCCACATATACAAATACCCTCCCCTGTAGGTGTGAACAGAAATTAGATTATTTTTATTTAAAAATGCTCTGGGTATCTAACTTAGGGACACATTTTCCATAATAAGAATATGAATTTAACACTGATTCTGTTCTCAAGTTTCAAATGATTTGGAGAATAGATCAAAACATCCCCTTCCCACCCACTTAGTGGGTCTTAGATTTATGTGTTTTCTTAACTTGCCCCTTTTTCCCAAAGCATTTACGGAACCCGTAGGCACAGCATTTGAAGACGATGAAGACCACTGTAAGCACGATGGCCAGGAGGAAGCCAATCACATCCAGGGAGTGGTACTGGTACCAAGTGAGGTCATGGGCAGCAGGGCGCAGGTGGGGTGCCCCCTTGTGCCTCATCACGAACTCCACCCAGAATACAGCCAGGTCCAGCGGCTCAATGGGACGGTCCTTGTGAAGCCTGGAGAGGCGCGTGACATTCTCCTTGTAGCTAAACACAAAGAGCTGTGTCAGTGCCCAGGGCACCCATGTAACAAGCAGCCTCCCTTTTATACTTGACTCTAGATAGCAATTTTCTAAACTTAGAAGAGAAACATGTTTCTATTATAGCTAGAAAAGAACTCCCCCAACACATGCTTAATTGGTGTTCTTTATCTTTAAAAAGGAGGAGGAAGAAGAGGAGGCAGGAGCGGGAAAGAGGAAGAGGAAGGGAAGGAGGGTGGGAGGAGAACGGAAAAGTGTGTTTACAAATATTTAAACCTCGTTCCTGTTTTTCTTTTTTGATTTTTAATGAGCTCTTCATAGGAAATTAGATTATATTTTCTTTATAGTGAAATAAATCAAAAGAGGAATCAGTTACAGGTAGAAGAATGGCATGGCTTGAATGTGTTCCCCAAAAGTCCATGTGTGGGAACTGAGTCCCAGTGTGCTGATATGAGAGGTGGGGGAGCCTTTAAGAGGTGAGTAGACATCGAGAGAGATGAATGTCCTTGTCACAGAGCTGGACTCTGTCACACACTATTGTGGGATGAAATCTAGCATGGCCACCATTTATTTATATAACATTTTTATTTAAAAATATTTCATTTAAAACTGTGTGTGTGTGTGTGTGTGTGTGTGTGTGTGTAGTGTACCTGTCTGTGTACAATGCCCACTGTACCAGAAGAGGGCACTGGATCCCCTGAAGAAGGAATTACAGATAGCTGTGAGCTGCCCAACATGGGTGCTGGGAACTGAACTCGGGTCCTCTGCAAGAGCAGCCAGTGCTCTTAACCACTGAGCCATCTTTCCAGCCCCTTGTTTTTGTAAATTGTTTGGGATTTTGTTGGCAGTTGGGTTTTTTTGTTTGTTTGTTTTTTGTTTTTGAGTCAGAGTCTCTATGTAGCCTCTGCTGGTCTGGAATTTTCCATACGGCCGTGAGTTACACTTGAACTTGCGGGGATTCTACCGCCCCTGCTTCCAAAGATTACACGTGTCGACTGCCACCAAGCTGGGCTTCCCACAGGTTTTGGTCAACATGGTAAAAGCCTTGATAGCATACACTAAATTTCATGTAGAGTGAAGTGGCCTGATGATGTCTGCCTCTTGGACATTTTTTAGGGCCACACTTGCCTTTGCTTTATTTCAAGTCTTTATAACACAGCCTGCATCATTTATTTGTCTTATCATGTAATTCCCTATTTATAGAGCCTCATAGACAAAATCTCTCATTAGTTCCAGTGCTAGGAAAAGCTGTACTTGAAACACCTGGGTTTTTGTTGGTTGGTTTTGTCTTAAGATCCATAGCATCTCTCTCTCTCTCTCTCTCTCTCTCTCTCTCTCTCTCTCTCTCTCTCTGTATGTGTGTGTGTGTGTGTTTGAATGTGGTGTGTGTATAATGTGTATGCACATGTATGGAAGTGTGTGCATCTGTGCATGTGCATGCAGAGGCCAGAGAAGGATGATCAGTGTCCTGCTCTGTCAGTCTCCACCTTACTCCTTTGAGACAGAGTCTCTCACTGACCCTGGAGCTAGGTTGATGGTCAGCAAGCTCCAGCAATCCTCCTGTCTCCGTCCTCCACTGGGCTGGGGCCTGGCTTTTCACATGAGTGCTACGTTTCAAAACTCAGGTCCTCATGTTTGCATAGCAAGCACTTATATCTACTGAGCCATCATCTCTCCAGCCCCCACTATGCATCTTAATGGGACATTTCTCTCTTTGGAAGATCTTAGAAATGAGATGCTTATTATGGTGATACCATTTTTAGTATAAATTGGAGTTTACAATCTACAAGGGAAAATAACATTTTTAACTAATTCTATGCTAAAATATAAAGTCCTTTAACAAGGGAATCAGAATAATCCCCAAGTTGCCTCCTGTGCACATCTAGATATGCACTCACTCTGTCTTCTGTTTCCACGGTGATCATGAATGCTGTGGATAGAATATAGGTACTTGTCTTCTTTCCCTTCTCTCTTACTTACCTTTTGTCATTGATGACAGCTTTCAGTGCATTTTCTAAATCATCAGCGGTCATTTCAAGGACGTTCAGGGTCACCCCAGCTCCCCGGGTCTCCATGCGCTTGGCATTGTCCATCTGATCACCGAACAAGGGCATCATCACCATTGGAACCGCATTGCATATTCCTTCATAAATACCGTGGGAGCCAGAGTGTGTGATGAATGCTCGAGCCTTTGGATGACCTGAGAAGCCAAACAGGGAGGACACTGAGTTTTCCAGCCTGGCATTGTTTAAATTCTAAAAACATCCCAGGACCATTATCCACATGTGACCCTTTTAGAAACTCAGAAAGAATAAAAAAGTGGGTTGATATATTCCAAAGATACAAAGCAACGTGGTATATGTTGGCCACAATATATTCAAGCTAAGCAGTCATTAAGAACAGTCATGCCTAAGTCATTTGCTTAATTTAAGCCTGGTCTGACCTATATGCCTGAGATTCCAACCTACCAAGCAGATCATTTTGGGGTAACCACTTGACAAGTATTGTATTCTTTGCAAGATTTGATGGTCGACTTCCAGTGTAGCGCCATAAGACCTTATAAGAATAAAAAACAAAGAGACAAACACAAGAACACAATATGATTTAAAAAAAAAACTCTTACAATAACCATAAAGGTCTCAATCCTGTGACCTCTGTGTGGTGGGAGGTTTGGTGACTAAGAAGGCCCCTGGGGTTGGTAATATTCCATCTTGATCCAGAGGCTTGGTGACATGACTGTGCTTTCCATATATATGAATAAGTGAACAACCAGCCCTAAATTTACAGTCTCTTCACTTATCTTCAAGAGGAAGATTTTTTTTTGATACACAGTCTCCCTGTAGCCCCAGCTGGCCCAGAACTCTCTATGTAGACCAGGCTGACCTTGATTGCTTCCAAAGTGCTGGGATTAAAGGCATGCACTGCTATGCACAGCCTGGTCTGAGAAATTTTCTTAATAAGGTGAGTGGATGCAAAACTATCCAAGTAGAAACATACTAAACATATTCAGTGTCTTAACCAATAGCTTTTCAGAGAAATATTCTTATTTATTTATTTTTAACTTTTAAAAAATTTATTATTTTTATTCTATGTGTATGCATGTATTGCTTGCATGTAGTAAGTGCACCTGTGTCATGCAATGCCCGTGGAGGTCAGAAGAGGCTGTCGGATCCCCTGGGACTGGAGTTACATACGGACAATTGTTAGCTGCCATGTGGGTGCTGTGATTCAAACCTGGGTCTTCTACAAGAACAAACAGTGTTCTTAACCACTGAGCCATCTCTCCAGCTCCCAAAATATTCTTATTTAATATGAAGAAGCAGTACTATGTTTATTTTAATGACATTCTCCCTAGTTCTTGAAGTTACTTAGAGAAAATGAGACTTCTGAGTGAGGCAGACCAGAAAACTAGAGCTGAACTGCAAAAATAATAAAGACAGAAATGAAGAGCTTTGGGGCAATGTGTGGGGGGGTGTCCCAGAGTCAAAGTTTTAGCTCATCAAATTCATTTAGACCCTAGAAGTCTGGAGTTCCTGTAAAAACAGATATGAAGGAGTCATGTAGAACTGCTTACTGTCTGAGGGATTCTCCCTAAAGCCTCAGCAATTTCCATAGCTTTCTTCTCTGGAATTTCTGAGACCATGGATCCCAAGGAGAAAACCACGATTCCATGCTCCCCAGAGGCATTGACGTAGGCTTCGAATTCCTAGAGTGGGAAGAGAAATTTCCAATTCATTCTTTTTACCTCATAGTCCATTGTAATTCTCGAATACGTTAAGCAATGGGTTAAATACCTTCTCTTATGAAATGATTGAAGATGTGTGTGAAATAGACAAAAATCGTTATGGCAACTCTGCCTCCCTCTCTCCTTTCAAAAGAGAAAGGTTTCTTTCTTACAGTTTCTGTGAAATTGCAGGATCCAAGTAATGCACAGATTTCATCGGAGAGGCAGAGGCACATATAGGTATTTGTGTAAACACATGAATGCACACACATGCACATGACACAAGTCCATATACATGCACCCACCTGAGCCCCACACGCAGATCCACTTAGATAAAACAGATGCTAATTAGCATGGCAACTCTCCACCTCCATAGATTATTAAGTCAATTAAAGGCCCAAGAATCTCCCAAATGGTTTCAAATATTTCCAAAGAATAGAGAGGGCATTAATGTGCCAGTGTGATGTGACAGGCTGCCCACAACTGAGGAGTGCCCTGGAGCATGGTACTTTTTTTAAATTGAATTTCGTGATTTTCATACAATATAGTTTGATGGCATTTAGATCTCCTCCTCCACCCACCAACTCCCCCACCCAATTTAATGTACTCTCATATATGTATATAAATTTGATGGTATTTAGATCCCACCCTTATTGCTCCCTGCTCAATTCAATGTGCTCTATTCTATATATAATATGGTCTATAGAGTCTGATTTGTGTCCCCAAATGTTCTTCAGTGTGGATCCATCCACTGGCCAGTTACCCATATGAACTCACAGCAATGGTGACAGCATGCACAAGTCCTATGCAAGCTCAAACAAGACCAAAATCTCAGCATAGACGGACATGGGGAAATGGGTACAAAATCCCAACCCAACCGAAGGCACTTCTGATGGCTGCTGGGAGGGGGACAGACAGTATCTTACAGGGATGGAACATGGTACTTTTATGACTAAAACTCATAATCCTGAGCAAACCCAGTCCTTGGTCCAAATGAGATATAGGAGGCCCAACAGGCCTTGGTACTCGTGACTTGAGGGTTCTGCCAAGCTCCACCCTGAACATACCAGAAAAGTCCATATCCTGGTCAGCCAGAGCACACCCTCTCCCACCCGCATGAGGGCCAGGCCCCCTGTAGTCCTCCAGCTCATCACAGCAGGGACACCTTGGCCTCATCTGCTGGGCCCATCAGAGCAGAGAGACCAGACTGGGCTTCTCCACCACCCTGGATTTTGATCTGTGTCAAAAACATCCTGAAGACAGCTTCCCTGAAGCCCTTCCTCCCCAGGATCATATCACGTTTAAAAAAATTTATTTATTTATTTTATGTGTATGTGTGTATTGCCCGCATGTAGGTAAGTGCACCTGTGTCGTGCAATGCCCACGTAAGACAGAAGAGGCTGTCGGATCACCTGGAACTGGAGTTACAGACAGTTGTTAGCTGCCATGTGGGTCTTCTGCAAGAACAATGTTTTAGCCACTGAGCCATCTCTCCAGCCCCCATATCACATTTTTCTTCTCCCCTCCTCACCCACTTCTTTCCTGGAGATAGGCGTTGCACTTCCTGATGCCCTTTGCTTTCCTTCTACTGCCTAATGGCACATAGCTGACCTACATTCTAGGATCTTCACTCCTTCGGGCTATATAGAATTTCATCTGGAAAGGGCCAAGGCTAATTTCCCATCCCTTATACTCTCCCACACCCACTCAGCAGCCAGCAGTATGTGATTAACCTGATCAGATCTGCACATCTATAAACATCTGAAGTTAGACAGCAAGATTTAACTGAAGCTGAATTAGCACGCAAGTTGTGTACAGAGACCAGAAAAGCAAGTCACAGAGATTGCGGCAGGACAGATAACGCCTTATTCTGTACCAACTTTTATGGATTCAGTAAAGGTGAGCACTCTATTTGGTTCAACCTACCCTAAACTTTGTGCCAACATCACCACAGTCCTTGGAACAGCCAAACAGTGAGGCAACATGCTAACTGCAAATAACCTTTAATCACCTACTTGTCTCCTAAGTAAGATGAGTAACCCAGAAAGAACTTCCCCTCTCTGAGGACACATCACTTGACCACATGAGATCTTTAAAATAGTTTCTCTGTTCAACTGAGAGTTGTGTTTTTAGTTCCAAGCTTTGGCTGGATTTATGCTTCCCAAACATCTTTAGAATTCTGAAATCCATTTAGACTACCTGTTGGAAGCCCAACACACTACCATTTTGCAATCCCAGCCAAGTACACATATTTTGAGCCTGTCTACCTCTATGCATGGTCTCTTCCTTCATTATCTTGAAATCTCTGACTTCCTGGATCTCCAACTGGCTATTTGCCTCAGACTCCTCATGTATGACTGTGGTCTCTGAATTTCTCTCTTCCATCAAGATACTCTCACTCTTGAACAGGAGGATGACATCTTGCCACATTAAAAAGGAGAGAAGCTGCAGGATCTGCCTTCATGTTAGAATATCTAGAAACTAAACCTTTAACCAGGACCAAAAAGACAATGTCCCCTGCCAGGATCTATAAATGTTAAAGAGCAACTGCAACAGACTTGAGCTTCTAGTGACTGGAACCCTGAATCTAGTGCCCCAATTGAGGGCAAGATTCATGATATACATTTCTGTTCTCTGCAAGGTGCCCCAAACTCAGCTCTTTGTTCTTAGGCAGTGAATGCTGCCTATCTTCCCAACATATTTTATAAAAATAAGTAACTTAGAAGATGACGCCAAAGACAGACAAATTCCAGCCTGGGAGACTTGTGAGTCAGAAATCAACATAAGAGCATTTGAAACCGTCCCAGCGTGTTCACTGAGGTCAGCACGTACCTACGGGAAAGTTACTTTCTCCAAAGAAACACTCAAACACATACCTGGGATATAGGCTTTTTCTCAAGGCAGTTCATCCCACCAAGAAAAACTATGTTGGGCATGATGGGCCTGGGGTAATCCTTCACAAAGTCAGTTCTCAAGAGCCATATAGACGCAGAGCTCAGAAGGTCATAAACAGTCACCTTTTTATGGAGAATTTCTGAGGCAAGTGCTGCATAAGGGGAATAAACTACATCGCACAGAAAGTTCTCTGTCAAAGCAATAAGCACATTCTTCACTCGCTGAAGGAAGCTCATGTGATCTGAGTTTGCGGACAAGAGCTTGGGCACATAGGACAGTGGGTTGGGACACTGGGTGGCTTTCATATCCAGGCTACATGGCAGTGCATTCAAGTAGTATACAGTAGGCAGTGCCAGGTACTGGGCCAGGATGGTGCCGCAAGGGATGAAAGGGTCTGTCAGGAGGGCATCGAAGTGGCTTTCTTGCAGGGAAGTCATCAGCGGGGCGTTTTGCAGCAGGTGGGTGCAGGCGGACAGGAGTAGAGCAGAGTCCCTTATGACTTTCTTGTACGTTTTGATCACACGCAGGAGGAAAGGATTGTTCTCAAAGACAGCATGCCCAAGTTCTGCAAAAGTGGCTGCCACATTCTCCTTTTGGAATGGCACTGGGTACTTCTTCAAGGTGTAATAGGATCCTTCCTCTATGTATACCGAGGCTTCAGGTGCTACGACCAGTATGTCATGTCCCCTCTGATGGAGCTGCTGGATGATCACATGCATGCTCAGCCAGTGGCTGCCATCCACAGGGATCAATAACAGCTTCCCAGCATGGGACACAGAGGGGCTGAACACGTATAACAGAAGGCCCAGGAGAAGCAAACGTGGGCCCTGGGACACCATGGCTGTGGTGTGGCTGCCTTTGTGGTCTGCTGTGGTCTACCCAGGCTTTCTCACAGGTAGCAGAAAGAAACCTGTTCATCCAGTTAATGTTTGACTGTGCCCCATGACCGACCAAAGCTGTCGATTGGCAAAGACCACAGGACGTTTGCTTTTGCGATGAAGAGAGTGGAGTTTTATTGGGTTTCTTAATAGATAACAGCAGATGAATTGGCTGTATTTCCTTAGATTCCATTCTTGAGTGAACATAAACAGCAAACCACCCCCAGCTTTATTATTCATTAAATTAACATTTTCACAGGTCAAAAAGTGTTAACAGAAAAGAAAAAGGACCACAAAGTGCCAACGTGTAAAACAGAAAGTTTCCCAGAGACTTTTGGAAAGAAAAGACATTATGCTGAAGCTCTACTTTGGTCCATGGAAACCCCAAAGAGTGTCCTCTCTACTTGTCACTCAGGGCTCTACCTTGCCACCTCCCTCACTTTTCAAATGTGTATCTATGTGTGAATGTACATGCACATATGTACTCATGCATGTGGAGGCCAGAGGGCAACCTTGGGTATCATTCCCCAGATGCTGTACTCCTTGTTTTTCAAATGAAGCTCACCAATTCGTCTAAGCCAGGAGGTCAAAGGATCTTCCCATCTCTGACTCCCCATCACTGGGATTAGAAACATGGCCCACCACATCCAGCATTTCTTATATGGGTTGTGTGTGCATGAGCACATGAGCACTTTAATGACTGAGCTGTCTCCCCAGCTTTCATTTCTTGTTTTTACCTCATACTATGGGATCCAGCACAGTACTGGGTCTCAAGAATGCAGCAAAGACCAGCACAGATGTGTCCTGCCTCCCCAGGACTCAAGCTCCATCAAAAGGGACAGACTTACAACTCAAACTAATAAAGCAGGCCCTTAGGGATTGCAAAGTGTATCAAGAAGGAGATGAATGGAGTCATGATGGGTCAGAGAACGACTCAGAGGGGAGAAGTCCATAAGTCCATGGGGTCCTCTCCAAGGGCAGAACTGTACTTCCCCAGAGAGACAGTGATAGGATGTATTACAAACAGGAAAACAGATTAGATAAGCTTACAAGGTTCAATTGTATTCATCAGACTGGCCCAAGATCAAGGGGACATTCTGATGATCGATGTGAAGGCAACAAAGTCAGGTAGACAAAAACAAGAATTTGTATTTATTGAGTGTTTACTATGTGCCAATGTTGTCCAGCTAAGCACCTGACAACATGTTG